TATATATATTCGCAAATGCTGAGATAGAAAGAAGCATATGAGGAACTCTTTAACGATGCCTTTCTGAGAGCACTACAGTTCTCCTGTTCCCAGCATTAGAAACCAAGCAGAGGAGGCATGAGACCAGTGTATGACAAAGCAGTGACCTGCTGGGGAAAAAAACAAGGCAAAAGAAGGAAAGTGTAACAGCTGAGGAAATAGGGACATGTAACCTGGGAAGAATATATGGATGCTTTCCAGACATGCAGAGATGAGTAAACCAACACGCAGATGAAACTGAACTTGGCAGGAGACTTAAAAAATAACAAAGAGCAATTTCTACAGACACGCTGGTCAGAAGACAAAGGCCAAGGGAAGCGTACTGCCTCTGATAAGTGAGAAGTGAGAAAAGGGAATGACAGACATAGGGAAGGTGCTCAGCAAGTCCTTCAGCCCAATCTTTGATGGCAGTCAGGCTTTCCATATTTCTTGTGTCCCTAAACCTCTAGATGGGAAATGGCAGAGCAAAATCCCTCCCCCTGTAAGAGAGGAGCGAGTCTGAGACCACCTGAAAAGACTTAATGAGTACGAGTCTATGGGGTGTGATAACATGCACCCCAGGGTCCTGAGGGGACTGCCTGATGCAACTGCTGTGCCCCTCTCCATTGTATTTGATGGCTGTCAGGCAAGTCCCCGTTGACTGGAAGAACATCACAGCAAAGTGGATGAATGCCAAGCTGTAACCTTGATAAAGAACCGTTGCCTGTGCCACGTCCAAATGGACTGACACAACCAGGGTGGTATCCTGCACAGCTCTCTATTTTCTAGGCGTCTCCTTATCAAGAGCAACTTGATTTTACAAGCTGCAAGAAAGAGCTCGCTGACAGATCCCAGAGGCTTGGGCTCAGTCAATTCAGACACACTCTCCTTCACATGCCCACAGTAAACACGTAGGGAGGGTTCACGATTTCTCATTGCCTACAATACTGTGCAGCACAGGTACTTTTCCAGAAGAGAAGCCTACAACGTCCACTGCAGCACTCACCACTAAGGTGAGTGAACGTTCAACCCACAATGAACTACTCCTTTTCTTTGGCTTTACTCTAATCTTTACACAACAATATTAAAAACAAAAAAATTCAAAACGCTGCCACAGAAAGTTACCTGATACATGTCCCCATAGTTTTCGATGTCTCCACTTCCAGGATGAGATTTGCCACCATAGAAATCCCAGGCAGAGTTAGGCACAGCAGGAAACCCTCTGTTCCCCGTGTTGAATAGCTCCCACAGGTGGCTGAGCCACCACAGATCCACATGTGTGATTGACACATAAATACAAATCTGGAAAAGTAGTGGTTGCATTTCAGTATGCATTGTGATGCTGTCAAAGCAACAGCCAGAGCTTTACCGCGCTGCTGTTAATTTGACCTTTTATCCCTCTCCCTTTATGCTCCATTTAACCCTGCTTTGATAATAGGAGCAGTAAACTTGTACCACTGAAACTGCCTTTCTGTGATGCTAGAATGGGATGATAATAGCAGAGTGGCAAAGTCTTTAGCTAAAGCGCGTGAGAATTAATCCAAATGCAGCAGCCACAAATGTAGAAGGCAAGGAAAAGAGCTGCTCAGCTTTGGAAGGCCACAGATAGAGAGGGATCACTGAAAATAGATGCCCTTACCTCCACTGCCAACCCTTAAATGAGGTCTGGGAAGGGGTGGATCCTGGCTCCACACCTTCTGGTCAGTCAGGTTTCATTGCATACACCTGAGCATCCCTTGGTCGGCCCTGCCTTCCCACCAGGTGCTCAATCACTGCTTCAGGCTGTGACTTAGCATTTCCTCTACACCTTCTCAGTGTGTCAATTACAGATTTTCCAGGCACTTTCTCCAACATTGTTGCTTCTGGTCACCTTGACTCTGAACTCCTTTTCATTGTCCTAGACAGTGGTTTAAGAAAAAGTCAGTATGTGAGATAAGAATATTGATTCATTTCCATTCTGAATTGCGTTTAAAACTATTTTGTTTATTTTCTCTCAGCACAGCTGTGAGCTTTTTCTCATTTTCCTCCTCAGTTTCCCTACTGTGATCAGTACTGTATTATTACAGCCGGGGCAGTATAAGCATTAGATATAATGTTTTACCAGTGCCTCTGATTTCAGCACATACACTCATGGGCAAGCAAACTCATTTCTTGCTTACTAATGCAGCTAAAGAACATTTTACTATTGACGTTAGATCTGTACAAAAGAAAAGTTATTTGTGGAGAAAGTAATAAATACTTATTGCAATAACGTTTATGAATTAATCACAGCTTCTTCTTGTTAAAAAAAAAATACCAAGAGTTCAACTTATATCAATTCAATTTTCTTACAGAAGAAAAAAAAACCACGCTGTGATGCAGTACAAATCGAACTTGAAGTTCCTTGGGTGTCTGCATAAATTTCAGATTTATATAGTGGAATTTTGTATCACAAATTAGCATTTGTCAGGTTATTTCAGCAGACGGAGGAAAAGAGCAGCCACCCCCAGCTCCCCTGCGGTGCTTACCAGGCCACATGGGAAAAGGGTTCCGCCTCATCGTTAGCATGCAAGTGAAAGAAATAATTTGTACTTTTCCAAGGATTCTTAGGGATTCCCATTAGTCTGTGGTGCATCATGTGACCGTCACAAATATACAGTCAAGGAGTGGAAGAAGTCCTGTCCACCGTTTACTAAACCTGTGACATTGAAGAAACCCATGCAGACTTTCAGTTGTAAAAAGAAGTCTTGAGTATGTATTTGCTCATTATAAAAAAAAACAGCTTCTGAGTCGATCATCAATATGATTAATAACACAGTAAGCACCTGTTTATTTCTTTTATGCGTGTCAGGTGTTATTTAGCATGTTTAGTAAAGTCAGATTTGAATTTAATGCACCGAGCTGGTTGGAAAGACATGAAACATGTAAAAGTAGTGATCAGAGTTCACTTCTAAGGTTTCCTTTTTCCATTTAAGAAAACTTCATTAACATTTTTCTTATCACATGCGATGGAAAATACGGCAAATACTTTTTACTTACTTAACTAGGAAGGAATAAGAAAAAGAATGGAATGCTTTTGCACACCCTTGTTCCTAACAGCTTAAAATCGAGGCTCATTCGTCTGCTTTCAACAAACAGTACAGAACGCCTGTAAAAACAACTCATTTAATTTAATTAATCTAACTTTTTTAGACAACAGCGTTGTTCCATTTTGCTTTGCTTAAAAGAAAGGTGGATGGCTGTGCTACGGAACAAAAGGACAAGAAAGAGCAGTGGCTACATGATACACTCCCATTAATATTAGGGCCTCCAGAATGAATTAGAGATAGAATGCAAAGGAGTGTGTGGGAGGGAATTTTTTGTTTCTTCTTGCTGCGGCCAAGGTAAATAGTAACCTGATAATAGAATGCCCTTTAAACTTGGAACTAAAGAGGTTCTAATGGGGAGAATGGTCAACAGGTTTAAATTATTCCATTCAGTTTGTCGCCTAGCTTTACTGCTGTGTAACAAGTTCAATCCCATTTACTGATATAAAGTATGTCCAGTGGGAGTAGAGTTCTGCACTTCTAGTTGTGGTTTGTGAAGACATAAAACAAAAATACAGTTTTCGGTGAAGTAACTTGAGTTACAAAACACTCTGGGCATTACAGCGCTTGTGAGTAGCACTGAAAATTCAGTTATCATTTACAGAAGTGATAGGGAGTTTTTGAAGATGATGGAAACTACTGATGGGGTCAGTACTGAAAATGAGATTTAAAAACTGCCTTTTCTTCCTAGTTATGATGAATTCAGGCAAACTCTTTGCAGAAGATAAAAACACTGAATTCTTCTGCTGATAAATATGCATCGAATCTAGAACATGGAGATTAAGTTTCTAAGGCAGAGTATCTTTCATATCTTGACCAAGAATAAAGACTGCTTTTAAATACAGTTTTGTTGCAAGATGGCTGATAATCATGGATCAATTGTTGCTGCTTATCTGAGCTACAGATTCTCTCGTACACTTCAAAGCTGTATAATGGAAAGGTCCAGATTTCTTTTCAGAAGAGTTTTCTCGGGAAATGTATCTGAGCTACTTTGGGGCATTACACAAATGGAAATTTGCCCTCCTAGACATTAGGTATGCTGGCACATCTCAGTAATTGGGCTGTTCTGGCTAACCATTGAGCACAAGAGCAGAAGTGAAAAAGTGCCTGCAGAAGTTAGCCTCAGATGGTGTTTCACATTTCCTATCCCTGTTTTCAGTACTGATTGAAATTCCTGGGTCTGTCTAGAATGCATCCTGCTTGAACTGAGACTTCTGTTCTTAACCTCCATTGCTTCAGCGAGTTGTCTTCTGTATTACCTCCTGCTGGTTTGCCGTGCTGAATGAGCAGCTATTGCATAGCTAATTCTTGATGCCGTTTCCACTTCACTTCGGTCTGTGCATCAGAATGGTTTTTAAGTAGAAGGTGCTCGTGCGTACATCTTCTGGGCTACAGAGAGTCAAATAAACGTGCCCTGCATCCATTTTGCCCATTTTGTTCATAGTAGGAAGTTTAATTCCGCAGGTTGTATTTCTGTGGACTTGAAGAACATAGGCAGATATTTTCGATTTGTCAGTGTGTGTTATAAGACTCTTCACGCCAAGGATGAGGTTTAGTAAAAAAATACAGTATGATAGCGTTAGAATAATGCTTTTTTCTTTAACAGTGACCGCCAAATACACCAGCTTTGACCTTGTAAGCAGCATTTCATTCCCTTTCTGTTTTTAAACAAATACATTCTTAGATGGGATGAGAGTTTTACTGAGAAATACACGTGTTGTGTCTTTGCAGAAAAACTTTGTGATTTGCCACATGTAGAAGATGGAAGGATTACCCCATGTTATTACAATTTCAAAGGTTGCTATTTCCTTATGCATAAAGGAAAAAACCTTTCCTATTCTTGCGTGGCTGGTTATACAACTGAAACCAGGACTCAGTACAGAAGAATAACTTGTACAGAAAAAGGATGGTCTCCAGTGCCACAACGCTACAGTGAGTTCGCTTCTTTATTTCATTATTGCTTCTAGCAGAAAACTGTTTTAGCTCAATTTCCTTAAGCATAGAGGGACAAAAGGTGCAGAACAGTAGGGATAAAAATGTGTAAGCTAGGTCAAGGTCAAATCCATTATGTTTATTCATACATCGAATTGTTTTATGCTAGTATATGTTCTAAGGACTCTTACCACATATGCTTTTTAAGAATTCCAAGAAAGCTGCCCAGTGTAACTGAACTTGGGAAAAATAATTGACATTTTAGTTACAGATGTGCATCTGAGCCTCTTTAGCTCCAGAGACATATTCCATGGTACTACTGTCTGCTCAATGATTGCGGGAGCATTTCAACAAAACAAGAAAATGAAATTGGATGGAAATAATTTAAAAACCCCACTTTCTTGCCTATCAGGAAAAATATTACATCGATTATTTCTTCCTAACCAAACTGTCTTTTTTCATTTAGAAAAATGCAATCAGCCTCTTCTGGAACATGGCATTTTTTACGGTACAGAAATGTACTTCAAAATACACGAGAAACTACAGCACAAATGTAATCAAGGCTGCCGAGCTCCCAGAGGTGGTACTGAAGATACAGTACAATGTCAATCAGGTGGATGGTCTTCCCAAGCAAGCTGTACTAAGAAAGTTGGTAGGATTGTTTCTTTCCTTCTCATTTCATATATGTTCATAAAATTCCACTGTCCTTCCCGTACCTGTAAGGTCAAAATGCCTTTGTTAGGTTATTTGAATATTCCTGAAATAAGTGCCCTGCTGTACCTCATGCGATGAAGTTGTCAGATGTTTCATGCTGTTGTTTTGTGAATTGGTATAGATAAAACTGTGGAATCGGTACAGGTGAGATAATTTTGTTTCAAATTAACTCATTTCTATTCAAGCTTTGCACCCAAATGAACACTAGAAAACCTATGTAAACTGTTGCATTTTTAATTGTTCATAGTTTTCAAAGACTGCTTCAGATACAATCACTTTAAAGGGAAATGTTAGATAAGTAAGCTTAAAGGAAAAAGGGAAACCAACAACATTATTCATTTAAGTCATGCTAAGTACCTGAGTTACATCATGGCAACTACTTCACAACCCAGCGATAGCTCCGAGTGAATGAAGTGCTGCTGTATAAATGGGATGAGGGATACCACACTGCAGGAGGAAACACTACACAAGAGGCAGTTTGTCTCGCGTGTAGACGGTCCCTTACTCCAACCTGCTCGAGCATGTAGTGGAAATGAATTCTCTTTGAAATGTGACGTAGTCTACAACCGAATAAAAAATTTATAAGTTTTATAAACTGTTGGGATAAAAAAAAGCTTTTATAGTTTTTGTTTTTTTTTTTTTTCCCTAGAAATAACCTGCCCCTCAAGATTTCTTCTCATTCTGTTGCTGTCATTGCATTCAAAGTTATGCATTTGTTTTTCTACCAGACCTTCAGCTCTGGCTGAAGCCGGGCGGGAAGGAAGGGTCCCCTTTGGCAACAATAAATGGCAGATGAATGTCATTTATAAGGCTGTGAAGATGAGCACATAAAGTAAATAATAATGCACTGCAGTAACCTATTGCTTTGCACTGAGTGTGCTGGCAGTGCTTTTCCTGCATCTGTATAAGGTTTTGCAACAAGAGGCTTCACCAAAGTTGAAAAACAAACAAACAAACAAACAACACACTCTTCTTCTCAATATGAACATCTGAAATACACTGTCTACCT